TGGTCAAGAAAGCTGTATTGCATCTGAAGACACAACGCGGCGAACTATCTAACATCCACACTTCCGGAAGAACACATGAAGACATCAAAATAGAAGAAGGAAGTTAAAAAAAATGGATGAGCGCTTATCCACAAATCAAAACAGCGTGTGTTAGAGCAAGTACACCTACCAGTCAGCAAAGGACAATGCCTCTATCGCTACAATACCAAGAAAGTACAGAGATATCTTAATGTCAGTCATAGAAGCACACAAATGGTACAAAACATCTCGAGAGGTGCAAATTCAGCAAGCAAACATTAAATGCAAAGTCAAAAGCATTAAATGTCACAATCCATGAAGATTGTACAAATTAGATGAAAGAATTAGATGATAGATAATCAAGCATAAGAACGAAGTCTGCTCACAAACGGAAGAAGACTACTACTAGAATGAGACACCGAGGTATCAGACGAAGACTATGAGGAATAATCAAGATGATCACAAAATAATCAGATAAAGCCATGTCAAGAGGAACTACTCTAAAGCACAAATCAGATGAGGGATGTGTCTAAGGCCAGAAGGAAGTCAATCATACATCAGACGAAAGTCAGCACAGACTGAGAGACACTCCAGAAGGAAACAACATTTGGTCATTCACATTGTTAAACAGACTAAAGAAAATTCAAAGCACTAAACCTAGACGCTGAAGTACAAGTCAATCCTGAAGTGCATAAGACCATCAAATGAAGACAAAAATTGGGACGCAAGCAAACAAAGAATCACGTCTCAAGAAACAAGCGAAGGTATCCTCTATAAATATCCCAGAGAGCTCAACGTAAAATGCATATGAAGAAACAAAGATAAGTAAGCAAAAGAAGAGCATCCATGTGTCAGAAAAAATACATTACTTTTTCAAAAGAGGACAACGGCTATATTTCTGCAAGACTAGAAAAAGACAAATAATTTCTTGGTCTCAGACAAAGTCAAACACTATTGCAACAGGACAGAGAAAAATATATGCATTGTCTATAAACGGGAAGCAACATTTTAATGCAAAGAGAAATGCATTAAATGAAGAAATCAAACTAGTCGTGAACGACTATATCTACTTCAACGGACATATGCAACAGGCAAATTTCACAAGCCTATAAATATGCAATATCAGCAAACAAGAAGAGAAGAGGTAAGAAACAACGAAAGAATGATTATATGCCTTGCCCTAGCTCGTGGATTGAAAGAAAAAGAGTGATATCAAGCCCATAAGATAGAGACCTGAGATGAGCATACATAGTCATATGTACAATGTAATATTGTATTTTTTTTCTCTGTAGACTAAGGTGTTTGAAAATGTTAGTGATGAACTAAACCTTAGTGAGTGTTGTCAACTTATGTATCCTCTCCATGAGAGTAATCCAAACACTCAAACACGAGTCTCTGTAAGACTAAGGTAACAAACCTTAGTGAGTGTAGAAATTTCCAATCCTCTCTATGAGAGTTATGTAAACACTCAAACCCAACCTACTCAGCTAATATAGTAAAGCCTGAAGAGGCTAGGGAAAAAATACTTGTAAAGCTCAGAGGGGCTTGTCAAAGAATACTCACTGCTAACCAGAAGTGGCTGATAAGAAAATACTAGCATTGATCAGTGAAGTCGACGGGCCAGGAGTGGTCGAGAATACTTGGGGAACCAGAAGTGGTTTAAGAATACTAGCCTTGGTGAGTAAAGCCGACGGGCCATAAGTGGTCGAGAATACTTGGACCAGAAGTGGTGTAAGAATACTAGCGTTGGTGAGTGAAGCTGGCGGGCCAGGAGTGGTCGAGAATACTCGGACCAGGAGTGGTCAAGAATACTCAAGCCAGGAGTGGTTGAGAATACTCAGGCCAGGAGTGGTTGAGAATACTCAGGCCCAGGAGTGGACGACAATACTCATTGTGCTTAATTTCATATCTAGTGGAACCCTTCAAGTTGAAGGAGACTGGACGTAGCTCAGTTGAGCGAACCAGTATAAAAGTGATTACACTACTCTATCTATATTTCAGACGCAAATCATTTTTAATTGTCAAATCACAATTAATCTTCACCTACTGTCTATTCTTCATTAAAATCATTTTTCAGACGAAGACGCAAAATTTTTTTAACAAACATATTATACTGAAAAGCTTTATCATCTACTTGTCTTCAAATGAAACTATCTTGAAAAGAAAAATGTTAGAACTTCAATAATTATCATTATAAAACATTTTTCTCAGTAGACGATGAATCCTTCAAATGCAATGACATTATGTTAACCAAATTTTGTGTAACCGTCTGACATTCAAAAGTGCATTAGACAAAGAGCATTACTCTTGCGAAAACGTTTTAAAATTCCTTCGTACTAACACACACATATTCAACCTCCCTTTCTATGTATTTTTCCACTAACTTCAAATTTCAAATAATCACATTCAGATTACGATTCAATCAAGAATACAAATTATTAGATTTAATACACAGAGAAACAATTATTTGTAATCCAAATTGATTTTAGTAGTTACCTTTTTTCTTTAATACCAAATTACATATATCATACTCAGATTTTCAATTCAGCAATTGATAACATTCAAAGAAACTGTTTCATTAATTTCTTGAAATTCTTTTTATCAATTTAACAAGAATTATAACAAGGTGTGAAGGTTAATAGAGAATTTGCACAATGATCTATACTGGTTTAGTCATATAAAGGCTTACATCCAGTTTTTGACTTAGCATCCCGCTAATTCAAGTCATTCCACTATAATATTCTTTACAAACACCATGTATAAGAAATATTATACTCATAATGTAAATTACACAATCTTGATTCCACAAGATTACACAAACACAGAATTCTTGCACCCCACAAGAACTCACTTGAGAAAAAGCTATCCCAAGATTTCTCTTAACTTTTCTAGAGACACCCTATCTCAAACAGTCATATACCCAACAGTAAAAACAAAGTTTACCGATAAGAAACAACACACATGTTGTGTAGAATGATCTTCCACAGAGATTAGCTAAATAATCTTTGAAGTTCTTTGAATTTCTTTCAAGAAAACATCTTTCTTGTTTCAATCTTACTCTTGCAATTTTTCTAAAAAAGTTTGATTTGATCTTCTCTCAAAATGTTTTTTCAAATCAAAAATGTTTTTCTTTTTCCTTTCTTGTTCTCTCTAATCATATCTAATCATCATCTCTTTTAAGTTTTTGAAAAGAGTTATATTTATAAAGCAAACAAGATTTCAACATTACAAACTCGTAACAACAGTAATCTATTACCATAGCAGGTAATCTATTACTAGTCTCTAATGAAATTGAAATCAGATTGAGTCAAGCATTATGGTAATCGATTATTGTTCCTGGTGATCGAATAACCGGTGTTTCAAAAACTATAAAACTCAGTTTTGTGCAGAGGTAATCAATTACTAATATAGGCAATCGATTAACCCGATGCTTTTTCAACTTGTTTCACTTGTTTTTACTAAAAAGTCACCATGGTAATCTATTACTTCAATTGGTAATCTATTATCATAGAGAGGACTTTGAATTCCACTTTAAAACTAAGCTTCAGTAATTTGTTACCTGAAATAGTAATCTATTACTTGACTTAATCTTGAATTCTTTTGAATGAATCAAGTTTCATTTTATGTCAAAATACTTTGTAATCTCTTACATTATGTTTTCACATGAAATGAGAAACATTGAGTTTTATGTTTACCAAAACATGATGTATTCTTAACAATTAATTAATCATGACAAGAGAACACAATCATGCTTAAATCTATTTAAACAACCAATACAATATTCTTTTCACATAGGCCAAAAATACAAAATGAAGCAAACTAAATCAAAGCTAAATATACCTACATTAAAACTAAAACTTCATCTTCAATCTTCACAAAGATCTTTAAGAGGGCTTCAAACTCAACAGATTTATATGTGGAAGGCACCACAGAACAGTTGGTGGCTATAGGTAAAGTGCACATCTTGCTAACAACCATTCACTACTAGACGATTCTAAATGATATGGTATAGATGGAGGTTGTCGATGCTAGTGAGCACAATGCTTGAGTCCTTATGTTCACCATGGAGGTTTAGACAATAAAGTTACTGAATTTCAAGTTATTCTAAATAATTCTAATTACATCCCTCATTGTATTGTTTGATAAATAATCAATGAATTAGGCTACAATTGTCTCCATATAAACAAATAACTAAAAGTTGAGAAATAAATTCTCCATACACACCTAAATTCTTTTTTAAGGGACACACTTGAATTCTTAAAAACATAATTAACTTGAAAATATTTTATTAGAATTTGTTTATTACTTAATAACATTTTTAAATGGATTTTATTTTACAATTTAAATTAATTTTTAAGAAATATATTTTGTAATAAAAAACAAAAATAACAATGATTTATATACCATAAATGTATTATCATGAAATATATTATTATTAATATTGTTTCATTATTTCATAATTTTAATTTAAATGATTATTTATTTCATTTTTTTATTATTAATGACATATCTAATTTAAAATAATTATGATTGATGACCGAGCATAGTGTGACGAAACATCATATTAAAAATTCATATCTAAATATTTGCAAAATTGACATATGTTATCCAAATTTTTGTTAATTTGACATATCTCTTGTGAACATATTCTATTCATACGTGTATTTACGTTAATAACACATTTTTTAATATATTTTTTAAAAAATACTTAGAAAACATAAAATTTAGTGACTTTTATATCCTTTATTTTTCTTAATTTTAATAAATTCTATTAAATAAAAAATATACTAAAAAAATTGTGTTAAATAGTATGTTGCTATATAATATATGATTTGAAATTCACTTGCGTACAACATCATGTTTATTAAAAACAAGTGTGTTAAAGTATAATTTGAGTAAATAGAAGACAATTTGAAATTTTGAACCACTGGAGTTCAATTCTTATCTATTAAAAAAAAAAAAGGAGACAGTTTCTCGTATTCTTTTTTCGACCACGTTCCTACACGTAGGTCAGTACTGGTCACACTGTCTCATAAGAGGAACTAGCATCGAAATCAAAAACCCAAAACCCTAAAAAGCGAAAGAAACCCCCAAAGTATCTTTCGCTCTGAAACCACCATGGATTTGCAGCCCAACGAGTTCGATCGCCTCTTGTTTTTCGAGCACGCTCGTAAGACCGCAGAAGCCGACTACACCAAGAACCCTCTCGACGCCGACGTTCGTATACTTTCCCCCCGTTTTTTTTTTTTTTTTAATTTTTTTTTCCCAGATTCGTCGTTTCCTTCGAACTCCGAAATGTTTCTCTCGAAGGATCGGTTCATGATTGCTTATTTAGTTTTTCGTTGATATTAATGTTATTTTCGTTTTTGTTATTATTATTTTTTTAATTTTCTTATGAAATGGCGGTTGCCTGTTGGTTGTTGGATTGGGAAGTGGAATTTTTTTTTTGAAATATTTTTTGGAAAAATTATTCCTTTTGTTTTCTAATCTCTGCAGAACTTAACGAGATGGGGAGGAGCTCTATTGGAGTTGTCTCAGTTTCAGAGTTTTCCCGAGTCGAAGAAAATGACCCAAGGTGATGCTAATTCTCTATGCCCTAGAAATTTTATTTTTGTTTTGGATATTTAAGGGCCAGCTTGTCACAGTTTTTTTTTCTTTAAAGAAATCACTTAGAAGTTTTTCATGCGTTTAATTAAGCTTTTCAAACTAATCAGAAGTTAGGAGAAATCTATAATTTGATTATAATCAAAAGCTATTTTGATCAGTTTCTTATAAATTCAGCTTCTTCCTTCTTCCTTTTTAAGTAAAAGTGATTTTTATAATTGTAAACAAACATAAATTCACTTGTTTTTTTTTTTTCTTTCTAAATCTCTAAAAAAATAATCACTAGATTATCTTACATCAGAATCACTTTTCTCTTTTCATATGTAACAAATGGGCCCTAAATTATTTGTTTGAACTTGAAATTATTAAATTAGGTGGTATTATTTATCGTTTTATTAGTTTTTGAATGGAGCATATAATGATGCGATGAGTATTCCCGAGCTTATGATTTTGAATTTTCGTCATTGTTTTGTTGATTTGCAGAGGCTATTTCGAAGCTGGAGGAGGCACTTACTGTGAATCCCAAGAAGCATGATACACTTTGGTGCCTGGGAAATGCTCACACTTCACAAGCGTTCTTGATTCCAGACCAGGAGGAGGCAAAGGTTTTATTTGATAAGGCAGCTGATTACTTTCAGCAAGCTGTTGATGAGGTACTTTTTGTGGTTTAGTGTCAATGATGGTCTCGGGAATGTGTTGTTGGTGGAATTTTGCTCTTAGAAATAATGTGTAATGGAGTAGTTTGTTTTATGTAGGACCCTTCAAATGAACTTTACCACAAATCATTGGAAGTGGCTGCCAAGGTATGTTCTGTATTTTATCGGTTTTGTATCATATCACCCTTATCATCTGTTTTGTGTTTGGAAGCTGCAAATGTAATATAGAAATGACTGTTGCAATTTTGTTCCGATTTGTTGTTGGCATTTTTATCTATTTTGTGTCTTGGTTCAGAAAACTAACGGAGGATTTTATATATTTCTTGTACCTTGTCTTTTTATCTGAATGAAGCCCTGCAAATATTATGCAGCGATTTGTAAAATGGTATACCCATATGTCTGCATGAAAGTGTGAGACTGCCTTGTTTTGTGAATTTTGTATGTGTACATGTTGACCAGAACGGCATCAATCTTGATTCTATTCATTGATTTTATCTGATACAGAAGCTTCCATAATAGATCACAGAATTGTTTTGGGAGAGTTCCACCAAAATTGTACCAGATTTGCATATTTTGTCTGTGATGTGCACAAATCTTGCATCAATGGGTTGCATCTTTTACCCAGTTTCAAGAAGCCAACAATTTCTTTTCCTTTTTAAAAACTTTTGTGAATGTGTCAAACCTTTTGATCTGCCTTCATGTTATACGAAACATAACCTTATTATGTACTCTTGTCCCTCCTTTTGGTCTATGCTGCTGTGATTTGTGGGAGGGCTGCTGTATTGAGTATTCTGATGTGCTGTGCATGTATAGACTGCGTTGTACAATGTATAATATGTTATATATAATTATAATTATACAAAATGAATTTGCTATAATTCTGAAGTTCATATTTCTATTTGTTAACTAAATAATGTGATGCTTGACTTTAAAATGTTAATGTCTAGATGTAGAAATCTACAAGCATAGATTTGGTCAACATCAGTGATTTAGAATTTCTTACTGAAATTTTAAATATTAGGTTCATAGTTGTCAATCAGACAATCACTACCACACTGCCTGGAAGAGTGGAAAAGTGACAGTGGATGATAGGAGAGGGAGCAGAGTGTTTCTTTGTCATGGTAAATCATGGATGCAGGATGCTATTGCGGCCATTAGCTGGCCATTCCATGGTTGTGGAAGCTGCTATCTCACTGTGTGATAAGCCCCAAAATATCCCTATTTTTAATTGTTCCCTCCCATATTTAGTTACTTTTTGTCATTTTGTCTCCTCAAAGACCAAATAGGCTTTGAAAGAACTCAGACTGGCCACTCCCTCATGTACTTGCTTCTTCTGTTCATCTCTTTTTCCTTCTGCGTCTCAAACAGTTTCTGGTCATTTTCTGATGAAAATGATTTAACTTGTGGAGTTGTTGCTGGTGAGTCTGCACCTACACTAGGCAGCAACCAAAATTGAAGTAAGTTACTATATTTTATATGAAGGATAGGAAAGCAAAGGGAGTTGTACAAGATGAAGAGGAGGATGATGTAGAAATTGAAGGATGCAGAACACATTTACAGATCTAGATGTGAGGAGAGATGTTAGGAACCAAGAATAGAAATGATTAAAGAAAACCGTAATTTTATTGAACTGAATGTAAAGAATAGAAAGTAGGAGGGAGATCTCTCCACCTAAGGTTTCCTCTTCACAGAAGGGTTTTTTCTTCACTAAGGATTGATGACCATGTTATTTATCCTGTAGTCAACTGGTTTATGGTTTCTGTTTGTGGCTTTACTATGGATCAAGAATTTTGGTTTGTTCATGTTTCAAAGGAATTAGACTTGTTCTTTTAAGCTCATTTGTTTCTTTTTTCATATTTCTTTCTATAATCTGTTTTTTGGTGTTTTTGGATGGTACCTTATCCTCCCTCCTTTTTTAATGCTAGAATAATCTTTCTTTTTCATTAAAAAGAAAAGGTTTACCAACTTGTTCTCAGATTGACTAATGGATCAATTCAACTACTAATTCCATTTTTTCAGGCTCCTGAGCTGCATGTAGAAATCCATAAGCATGGATTTGGTCAGCAGCAGCAGGCAGCAGCAACAGCTGGATCTTCTACTTCTTCTTCGGGTACAAAGGTAATACTTAAAAAGTTTTTGTTGTTTGTCTTTACCATGCAATTGTTTTGTATCTCGTTTTTGTAGTTAATGTGTTTGTATAATTTTCTCTCAACTTCTTTTTGTAGATATAGTGTATATTTTAAGTGAAGTTGTTATGTGCATACAGTATAGTAATTTTAAGTTCTAATCTTCTTCCATATGCAATGTTCTCTGACTGAGGACTCATACAAGGATTGTTGATGCAGTGAAACGGCGTTTCTTGACTGGAATGTACTGTGTCGTTACATTTGAAAATTGATGGTTTTTAAAGTTATTTTTTCAGTAAATTTGATTTTTGTTAAGTAGGAACTATGTGACTAAAGTGTGTGGAACACAAATTTTATAGGATGGGCTCAGGTTCTACCATGACTGCACCAAATTGACTTTTTATAGATCTTAATTCCCTACCTACTGTATGCAGGCTTTGAGATAAACTGTATTATCTTGGTGAATTTTTTCTTTGAAGGGAATAATTTATGTATTTTATATTTTTGATAAAAAAAATAGAGAACTAATATTTTGCCTGGTCTGGTCTAAAGATAAGTGCTGTTTGTCTATTTTGGGTTGGACTTGGCTCTTGGACTGTTAGTTATTTGTGATATCTGTATTATTGGTGAGCATATTGTGCTAAAAAATCACATTGAAGGTAGATAGTCATTTCTTCATATTTGGGCTGTGTTCATTTATCACCTAATTTGTTTGGGTATTTTTCAGACTCAGAAGAAAAAGAAGAGCAGTGATCTGAAGTATGACATATTTGGATGGGTAATTCTCGCAGTTGGTATTGTTGCATGGGTGGGATTTGCAAAATCGAATCTGCCACCACCCCCTCCTCCACCTCCTAGATAAGTGGAGCCATTTGATTTGTCTGATGCATTATTGATTATTGAGAAATGATATTTGATTTCGGCCAGTGGCGTTTATTTAGTTTTTGACAGTAGTAGTTGTATGTCATGGTGTAGCCATTGGCTTATCTGATCCCATCATACGAAATTTTATCATACTATGGGTTGAGCAGTTAAATATGTCCGGCTTAGATCTTTGCTAGTATATGCAAAATCAAAAGCATTGCCATCGATCAAGTATTGAATATAATAATTTTCTGCTAATGTTTCGGTTTTTCATTTATGGCTCAACTCAAATATGCTTTTATTTGTAGGGCAGTTGCTAATCTATGGGGTAGTTGCATGGAAGCATTGTAAGTAGATACATTTGTTCATGTTAGACACCTTTGCTAGGATGATTAGTGCCTGTTTGGTGAGTGGTCAAAATTAGTTTTTCCTATTGTGACACGCTTCAATGTAAAATTTGTGATTGAGGAATTAATTTTATTCAACTTCAAAACAAATGGGCTCTTTAAGTTTAAAGGGAGACCATGGTTTTAACGATCTTTTTATTAGAATAATCTAGTTCAAGTATTTTACATGATCCTTTATGGGACCGAAATTGAGATGAAAACTAAATCTATTCTTTTAAGAATTGGAGTCCTGGTATGATATTGCATTGTGTTTTATACCTCGTGATTGCATACTTTTTATGTTTGGTTTTTTGGTTAGTCAATATGATTTGTGGCTAAAATACCTTGAAATTAGTTTTTGCTTTACTATTTTCATACGCGAAACCAAATATCATAGTGTTATTTCCTTTTTATTTATTTTTAACTCCTCACAAGTGTAATTAAGGTGAATTCTCAGTGTTGCTGGATAAATTTGAATAATTCTAAGGTGGTCAAGTATATGTAGTTTACCGTGTACCACTAGTAATAGCCTTTAGATTAATCTAAGTCTAGTTATCAACGCTCCAGCAAACCCCTCCCAGTCACACTGCAACGCACCTATCACCCAAGTCTTTTTCTCTTTGCCGACTAACACCACACACCTAACACAAAACTTGAGCATTTGCCATTGCCTACACGTATTTTATTGCATGTTTCAATTTCTTAAAATGAAAATGAAAAAATCTCTCACTTTCTCCTTTTAGATTTGAATCATGTCACTAGATTCAACTGCTAACCCTATGATCGTTCAAGTGAACACGCGCAATCACAATGCATTTTTGAATTCCCTTGTTTTTTCAATAATGTTTTGTTTAATGATCTGTTTTCGTGGTAGATTCAGTGGCTGACGACATTAAAAGAGAAGTGATGTTTTTGTGATCCTAGTTTGCAATAGATACCGAAATTAAAAATCTCATTGTATGTGTCAGTGTTACTTATAAGCTCTGAAAGACCTGAAATTTAGTTGGTGGTGGTCGTGGAGGTCGCTCGTCATGGAGGCAGTAGTGCACGGTGGTCAATTACGTGCAGTGGTAGACATTGAGGGATTATTATCAGTAAAGGAAAAAAATGGTAATACTGCAGTATAGAAGGTGCATGATAATAATATGAACTTGATATTTATCTAACGGTCATAAATTGTGGTTCATGGTGGACCACTTGTGGCAGTGGTCTACCTTAGAATCCGTCGATAAATTTTGGATGGGTTAATTTGATATGTCGCATGTTATGCAGCTGAAGAACAAAAATAAGAAATCGTACAATTATGGTCTTGTTGTGTAACATATTTACTCTTACAAGGAAATAAAGAAATGTATAAAATCATGAACAAACTTTTGTAATACGAAATTGAAGAAAATTCGTGTCTCCGATTATTTAATTTCACTTCGGTCTATTGGATAGAAATTATGGCAGTTGGCATGAAGCGGTAGAGGAAGAGTTCACATTTTATTTCTTTAATAATGAGAATAAGTAGTGCAAAAGATTAATTCTCTTTTTTGCGTTAAATCTTTTGCTTTATAAGAGTATCTCTACCAGGAGTTGCTTATGTGTTTCTTAAAGTCATCTCATCCTTCGTTATTAAAATTTTGCATTAGAGATGATCTAGGTAGCAAAGTGGATTCCTTAAACTCTAACAGTGTTGCTTCTAGAAGATTCATTGCTTAAGAAAAAAAAAGGATAAATTTATTCCCAAATTATATTCATTGAGGAGAAAAATGAAGATTTTATCTTCCATAAAGAAAAGAAAATTATCAAATGAAAATGAAGATGAGAAGGAACCAGTGTGCCTCCGTCCACCTCTACGCGCGCCTCTCCGTATGTCGTCGATCCTTGAGCTAACCTTTGCACGCCTCTGCCTGCCTTGAGTCTGCCTTCGAGCACACCTCCCGACGTGTTGTTGCCTGCCTCCTCCCACCTCGAGCCTGCCTCCGTGACACCTCTCTATTCCCTTATTTCCTCCCTTCCCCTGCGCAACTTGAATGAAAGTGGAGAATGAAGCAAAAATGTGTGCCTCTCCCTGATTTCTCTTAAAATATGTAATTTGTTTATTTTTCATATATAATGTTTCTATATGCATGAAAAATAAATGTGTGAGATTTTTAATTAATTTTTTTATTCGTATTCAAATATTATATTTTGTTAAATTAATATTTAATTATAATAATTAAATTATTATTAAATTATAAAAAGTGATGTGTAAATAAAAAATTATACAAGTGCGGATGCTTATAAGAACTACTATTGGAACAAAATTTATAAAAAAATTTAGTATGAGTTGCTTAAAGTTGATGTGGCACAATAAACTCCACATAAAATGATATAAGAACTCTAGTGTGGTTTTTATAAGAACCCTAGTCTTATTTATTTGATTTCGGTTTCAGTGTTTCTATAATTCATCCGATTGTAGAAGTATGATTTAGAACGATAGAACTTATAACTTCCTCCTTCGTAGAGAGGTGAGTGAGTCCATAAGTTTGTTTATATAAGTTTTTTCAAAAATATTCTTAGTAGAAGAAAATAAAATGAAAAAATAATTTTTTTTATGAACTAAAATTAATTTATATAGAAAATAAAATTAAGATTTTAGAGAAGTTAATAGAAGAGTTTATATGAATGAATTAATGCTTAAATTGAATTTAGTTTTTAAAAGAATTTTTTTCTTATTTTTTCTCTTGTAAAAGTGTTTATGAATAATTCTTTTTAAACAAATATTATATATCATATGAGATTATGTACATTAATATCTTCATAAGTGGTTCTTTTACCAAATGTGAACAACTGTTGTTTATTTTACCTTAATTGAACCAAATGCGAGCAAATATTGTATATTTTACCTTGATTCTCATATAAATTTGAAATACTATTTCAACAAGTACTAGTAGGAAAAAGACATTCAAGTGCATGGATTGTATTAAAAGGAAAAAAATGTTTTTATGTATAGTTTCAGGATAGAAAGAGAAAAAGAGAGAGAGAAAAATAATTTATTTATAAATAATTTTAGAATAAAACAAATAAAAAGAGAGAGACACCGGGAAAGATGATTTTAAGGAGTTGTAATAAATAAATAAGAATGAAACTAAGAAGCAATTACTCATAGGAGCATTCTTTCTATATAGTATCGATATTACTATGACTAGTGTTATCGAGACACTTTGTCTTTATTAAAAATAAAATAAAGATTGAAGATTGAGATTAAATAATAAAAGTATGTTGATGTAACTAATATTGTGGTTGTTCATCAAGTCCTAAGACATTGAGTTCAAGTTTTGAATTTGATAAAAATATTATTTTTTTAATAATAAAATAATAGAATAATCTATCAAATATGGAAATCAATGTAGTTACTAAAAGGGGTATCCTCTTTATATATTAGTATAGATTGGTATAAACTATATTTAAATAAACTTCTTTTGAAGCATTTTTAGAAAGAAAAAACAAAATAATTTTTTTTATAAGTTGAAATTAGTTTATGTATAAATTAATTTGTAAAAATTCTCTTATATAACTTCTCAAAAGAATAATAAATTAACTTGTACATAAATTAAATTTACCTTATAAGAAAATTAATTTCAATTTTTATTTTTATTTTTCCTCCCAAAAATGCTTATGAAAAACTTTATCCACAAGTCATCAATTACTTCTTACACAAATTTTACTTTAAATAACTACTCTTTATCGCAAAGTAACGCCACATACACACAATCAAATCATAGCCCAATCAAAATAATATCTTAAGAGTTTTTATTATGATATTTTTTTAAAGTTAAAATTAGAGTTTTATATTGAAAATTTATATCACAGACCTTTATTATGTGAATTGTTAAGGTAAATTTTCAAATTTATTTGAACAATAATATAAAAAAGTTATGAAACTTTGTCCATAATAAAATACCTTCTAGTTCTGTTTCTAAGATGAATTGGACAACAAGAGACAAAAGGAAGGTAAAATATAATTTTTTTCAAGGACATTGGCTAAATATAGGTAACTTTAGCCATTGCGTTGGCTTCACTAAACATATCATCTTAATGTTTAGATTAAGAATGACAAATAAATTCATACTAGTGGGTAATATCCAAACCTATTTCGACTTTGACGGAGAATACTTGATTTGACTGAGAACAGGTAAAACCTGATATATTAAATTGGGTACGGGTACGAGTATGAGTATATACTTATCCGTCTCGTATCTGTCCCCGTCCCCATCCCCAATTTTATACCCACCACCGATTTAATTGTGTTAAAAAAATTTAATATTTTATTATGTTTGATTATTTATTATAATGCGAAACATTTATAGTTATTTAATTATTAAGAAATCTCTTAATTAAAATATGAGATAGAGAAACAACCTGATTATAATTGTAATATAATAGAAAAATAATTTAAAAATATTGTGTATTTTTTTTACAAAAAAAATTAATAATTTTTTATGGGTTCGGCTATACCCGATACCCGACGGGGACGGGGACAAAAATAATATACCTGACAGGTACAAGTATGGGTACGAGGATGAGTTTGAGTTGCGGGGATGACGACGGGGACGGTATCATGAAATCCGTACCCGACCCACTCCGGTGCCATCCCTAGTTTAGATGGAATCAACTAAAACAATATCAAGAAATAAGCGCTGACTTCCACAATTAATTACTGTCTAAAATTTAGATTAATGGAAAATAAAACATCATATACCTTATTAAATATATATTTTTTTATTGCAAAAAATTATTTTGATAAAATTATATATAATTCTTTGTCTAAATTCTTGATATTTGAATTATTTTGATTTCAATTTCTATCATTTTAAAAATATTTTGTTTGGATAAGTCAATTCAAATTTCTTAAATTTTAAAT